TGGTTCGGTTGAGAAAAAAGCCCCTGGTTTATTCCGCACATTGTTTAAATACACCATTCCAAAACCCGAAGGTGGCGCCACGATTCATAGTTGTTCTGTCGCTACACTAGCGTCCTCTACAGAAACTGTAAATACCACATTGCAGAAGCTGACGCTGAGACCGAACAGAGAAAATGATAACAGTTAGGGAGAGTTTAAAGGGGCACTGACACCCCAAAGGTCGTATTTATTTTTATTGTCTAAAACGATGCAAGTTGCAGTCATAGAAACGCAAAAAAAACCGCATCGCGAAAAAAAATTTTCCCACGCGCGCGCGCGCCTTTTTATTTTTGGCGTTTGATTTTCCCGCCTCTCGCCTCCTCGCTTCTTTTGATCGGTGACGTCAAAAATCAGGAAATTTAGAAGCTTTGTAGGCGACATCTTTATAACATTTAATAACGGCAATCGTAAAACATGTTTTTTAACGCAATTGCGAACGCACTACGGCCCTTCTTTTTGAAATACCAAAAATCGGGAGTTCGTTGTGGTGCCGTCTCCTGGATTTGTATCCTCCAACGGAAAACAGGCGACACCGCTCAAAACCGGTCCGCCGTAACGCCACCGCTCACTCCTTTCCTCCTCGCTTTGGGTCGCCATGGCAACAGCAGGGAGTGGTGAAAGAAAGTCGACTCTCAGGTCTCCGCGATTTTTGACGTCAAGGCACCGGCGCCGATCGCGCGGGAACTTCGAATTCGGCATTTGGAAATTGTTTTTTTACTTCACAAATACTGAATTCCCAAATTTTGAGGGTAATGTCCCGGCATCGTTTTCAATCGTTTCGGATAATAAAAAAAAATATGATTTTGATGTGTCAGTGCCCCTTTAAACGAACTAAGGAAAGGATTTTCTCCGTTTTGAAACGAGACATGTGCAGGGGCAGCTGAGCTTGACGTTGACGAACCATCTGCTCCAACGCAAGGAGAAAGAAAGACTCCGTGCCACTATGATGATGGATCCGCAGGTTATGTACACCCGTCCTTTGACGTGTATTGACAGCGGTTCTACGAGGCAGTTGACGCGGTACACTCCTCTCTAAACGACAGGTATCCGCCTTCGACGTGACAGCACATGACTCACATTGAGCGCTTTGTAACACGTGAAGACAGCAGATACCTCTTTGAGTTTTACGGAACAGTCTGGACACCTTAAGCTGTACCGTGATATGCTCATTGATATTTATAAGCAACGGTATATGCCAACCAGCAGATTTCAGGGTGTTGTAGAGGTATTCTCGGGCGGGCCCTAGCTCTTGCCAGAAATGGCTAGGCGGGTTAAAATTGCATTTACCATTCCTGTCATATCATGCACGTCAGAAAGGTCGTTTTCCTGTCTCCGTCGCATAAAAATGTATGTGAGGTCCACCATAGGGCATGCCCACTTAAATCATGTTGCACGTCTGCGTGGCCACAAAAATCTCACCCGCAGAATAAACCTCAAGGGCATTGCCGATGACTTTAATAAGCGGTCAACTGTACGACGAAGGACTTTTTTTTTTCCACTGAGGGCATAGGTTTGTGCAAAATTGCAGTGTCCGTTTTTTCTTTATTTTGTTTGTATAACATGGGCGCTTACACTCGTATTTTAGTTCCGTTCCGTTACACCATAAGTCGCTCGTTAACCTCTTAATATTGCTTTTCATATAAGAGTTTGTCCGCAGTTGTCTGTCTCCGGCTGTGATTGTTTTTTGTTATTGTATAACTGTTGAAAATAATTTTTTTAGTTGAAATTGGGCGTACTTGCACATTTTCCCTCGATTCTGACGATTAGATCAAATTGCGTTTAATGAAGTGAGTCACGCTCGTTTTGTTTTGTTTGCTCTCGCATTTTCTGAATATGGAACTTCAAACTACTTTGCTATATATATTAGAAAATAAATAGTTTCTGGACAAAAATGTCAGATGTGAATGGACAGCACTGATGACGTATTTGCCTCTTCATGTGAAGAAAAAAAAAAGTAACTGACGATGCCTGAGTGCCTGCATGCTTGTGAAACTACTAGAAAGCAGCGTCTCCTTACGGGGTGGGAGAGGGGGAGGAGGAGGTAAAATCAGAGAGAGAGAGAGGTGAGAGAGGGCAATGGGGGAGGAGGGCAGTGTGGAGACTGAAGGTGGCAACAAATCCCTCCCCCGGAAAATTGAAAACTCTCTTGCAAAGAGTTTTTGTGTCCAAAGTAATACGATTGCTGGGCCGTTTGCGCTAAACTGCGCCATAGTGCTTTCCCTGCTACATTATACCGGAATGTGAGGGATCTGCGCGAACATTGCGCCAAACCTTGATTTCACTTTCATAATTCTGAAGATATATAATTGCTCTAGCGCAGACTTGTACACGTTACTGAAAAATTGTAAGGAATTACATTTACAATTACTCAAGGCTAAATTGTAATTTATTACAATTACAATTACCCTTCCATAAATGTAAGTGACCGTTACTCCCAAAAGTAATCCGTTACTTTCGTGGCGTTACTTTCAACAATATTTTCCTCAATTAAGGAACAAAGGGAAGAAGGTTATTCAATTTCTTATTGTTGCCACCTGTTCCATTTATTGACCTTGCGTATTTTGAGCAATAGCTGACTCTCGAAAGACTCGTCAGACATTTTGTGTTATTTCTTAGTCAATGTGTCGACTGCTACGCTGAACACCATTTGAACTGAGGCACTGGATGGGAGTGCCATATTGTGCCTCACGAATGTTTTATGTTCTTCAATGAGGTTTTTCATCGAATCAATGGAAGTACTATTTACCTCGAAGATAGAGCTAAGCTTCGCCGTTGCAGCCGTTGCCGGATATTTGAGAGTTTTAGAAGAGTTGGTAACAGTAAGGTGATAATTTAATAATAAATAAGGTTTGGCTCGATATCTTTCTTCCTTTGGTTCTGAACAGGTCGAGCCTCGGTTGAGACGTTGGTGAATTACAAAAAAAAGTTTCCAATATTTAAATATAAGTAATCGAGAAGAAAACAACAGGACACTCATAACAACAATTAATTAGAACGTTGGTTAAAACAGGGAAATGTGAACACACGTTTGCCATGTGTACCTTTCTTGGTGCCGCTCAAAAACGCACGGAGCACGGACCGTCTGCAGTTTACTCCGGTGTTCTCCAGATAGACGTCCGCTGATGCCACGGGCAGCGAAGGGCAGAGAACTAAGTAAGCCGCGCAATGGCCCCACTCACGAGTTTCACTCTCTCCTCAAGCCAAGAATATCAAGTCTACGTTAGCCACCATTATGTTTTATTTATAAAACTATCTGCTTGAGAAAAGATCCGTCCTGCTGGGGTAAAAAACAGGAAGAAGAAAAAAGGAAGACTATTACCATTTTCGAAGTGCTCGCAAAAAGCTGACTCACAAAAAGGGTAACTGAGATGCAGATAACCTGGCTGGAATTCACAAATAAAGTGGGCCAAGCCTAAAAGTTGGACTACAAAAAAAGTAAATAGCTTTGAAAACATGGTCAAATAAGGTGAAAGAAGCAGGAAAAAAATACATCCTGTTTTCTAAAAGAAGATGATAAGTGAGCATCGACGAACCAGGATGCTTGTGGCAATAACACCGTCACATATTATCACATCTCTTTTAGTGGATTTTAGGGTAGACGGCGCGTTGCCTCGTGTTGTGACATTATGAAAATAATCGTAGTCACTATAACTGAGAGCGACATTGTTAATTCTTGTCTGTGCACTTAACGCCTTGAACTTCTCGAGGAGGCATACAATTCCTTGGTGTCTTCCTCTCCCCGCCTTCGATCCCGAAGAAAAAACGGATATAACTTCCCTCCCTCTCCCCCCTTTTTTTTGTAGAAATGTTTATTTGGATCTTTTGACATTGTTGTTAGGTTCAGGGGCTTGGTGTTGCAGAAAAAAAAAAGGCTTTGCGGAACTGAAGAGTGCCAAGCCTCCCTTTGCGCTGGTCAATTCGCGTGACAGTGTCACTGCGCTCAACTTTACCAAAATGAAAACGACTTTTTCTTTAGGAAAGGGGGGGGGGGGGGGGGGGCTAGTCCTAAAAAAATGTAACGGATTACAAGGAATCCGTTACGTAAAATATGTAAGGGAATTACTTTAAAATTACTCTAGCAGATATGTAATTATTCCGTTACTAAATTACCGATAAATGTAACGGATTACAAGTAATTTCGTTACTTGTAACGGATTACGTACAAGTCTGCTCTAGCGTCGCTACCACGCCGGATCATTACGATAGGCAATTAATTTCCGGAATTTTCGATTATCACCTCAAATAATCTGATTTTATTTCGTGTCAAACGCTGACAGTATTTGGAAGTTTCGCAATATTTCTCGTGTCCGTGGTCTTCTGACGGGGCGATTAACTTCGTTGAGTGCGCTTCTCACCGCACACTAGTGCAGTGCAGTGAAGCGACAACCGTGGAGTACGCATCGTGATTTTGCGTGTCTTGATTCGCCGCAGCGTAGCCACGTGCTGAGGGGAAAGCATTAATTCAAAGTGGGCCGCTACGCACAATTTCTAAATAACACTGCTGTTAGTATAGATTGCGATATCCTGGCGATATCTTTTTCCAATTCGAGATGTAGCGAGGATACTTTGCATGGAGATTTATATGAATTGTTCTGTTGCTTTGTTCTATACGGTAACTCTTTTGTTTAGTTAGCACTTTTGTATAGGGCTGGCACTCACTTAGTCGAGCTTAGCTCAAACGACGTTTTGGTGAACGCCGCCTTTTCGTCGAAAGACACTTCAGCGATTAGTCGGCCGCCGCGAAGCGCAGTTGAGGGGTGGGCTAGGTGGGTTAATATTTTTGTAATGAGCTGCCGCAGACTGTCGCGGGGGAGGAAAACGAAAGCCAAGCTGCGTCTCCTCTCGATCTCACCGTGGTGACGTCAGAATGCGAGTGCAAGGCTTTGGTTAACCTGCAGCAGGGTGATACAGAGTGGTCCGCTAGCAGAGTGATACGCAGAGGCGCGGGCTTCTTGTCGCAGGGGCAACGAGTTGAGTCAGCACGTGTACCTGGCCGGCGAATCGTGCAGCCAGTGCCCCAAGGGAACCTGCTGCTCCTCCTCCTCCTGCCCTCCCGCGCGGACCAGTGCGACCAACGCCTCGCCGGCAGCCTTCACAGGCCTCTGCAGTGAGTCCATCGGCCCGTCGCTCTATGTAAAAATTCGTCCCCCTCCTCCTAAAAGAAGAAAAAAAAAAAAAAATCCCGTGCGCATAGGCATGTTTTTGATCGAACTCACGGAGCTGCGAGATATTGGACTGCTGTGTCGAAAGGATTTTCTCTCGGTTTGATAGCTATGATCGTATTCTGTGGAAAACTAAGCGCATGCCCCAGTGAAAACCAAACAAAACGAAAAGAGTTTGTCTGTTACGCATTAAAGAGCATATAAGATAGTATAAAACCACTGACGTCGGAACGCGAAAAAGGGGGGGGGGGGGGGGGACAGTTGCTTTTGTTTGCGTTGTAGATGAGAGTCGTTGCGTCTTGTATAAATAAAATACAGCACAGATGAGTAAATTGGCGACTGTCGACATTAACCCTTTCGCGGTCGGTTGTGTTTAAGTTCTCCCAAAGACGTGTCCAAAGTGGTCGGGTTTCTTTCAGAGGCGTAGTACAACGAATAGTTCAATGCTCAGCGCATTTAATTATTTAACGGGAATACGTACAGTGCTTGCACGCTGTAAATATTGAGAAGCATCGGACGTGAAAGCGAAAAGGTGTCTTCTTTCTTCCATTTGGTTTCATTTTGCCACCATCGCTTCCACAACATTTCGGCGGTCCGACTGCATACAGAAAGTGCTTTATAGATCCTTTCCATTGATTGATGAGCTCTCATCCTCTGAATTCAGTTTTATGCGTTGAAAGACTGAGCTGGAAGAGCCGGGCTGCGATTGGCCAGTATGTCGCCATGATCAGCCGACGCGCAAAGCGACCATCTCCTGCGTACCACGTGTACGGAGTGTCGAATTTCAAACAATATAAGTAGCCCCGGCAAGGTGAAATACGGTGCGAATTTGCCACTAACGATCCTTGCAAAGACATAACAAATAGCAGAACCTAGGGAGCGCGCGATTTCACGTTTAGGCAGTACCTTTGAAATATGTAATCGCCGCCGTAAATGTACGCCGTCCATCAAAGGGTGTAAAATAAAAAGACTCCGTCGGGTTTGTAGTGTATACGCCAGCATGAATGAGCTCTCCGAGTTTTACTTCTGCAGCCTGTGAACACGAGAGATTACCGAATATTTTCACCGCTCAGTGTTTTAGCTACAAGTTTTCGCCGCAATTAGTTTATGCGTACATACTCTAACTATACGGTAATACTATTAAAATGAGGGGGAACGGATGGATTTAAATTTGATCTAGATATAAACTAAGAAGCACGTACGCGTCATGCGAATTAATTGTGTACTTTTTAACTTCGCTTGTCTGGGGAGATCAAATGCATATTCACTCGGTGCAGGTGCCAGCGTGAAATACAGAAAACGAAGTGAATCATATTATTAAAAGGGCAGTGCAACAAAATTCGTACTTTGCGCGAATGCCGTTTAGAACGAATTCCTGACTTTCATGACCAATAAAACACGCGTTTGTTTTATCTCCAGGCTATAAATGTCTATACTTCGTTTCAGCTTCGGTCCGAGCGCGGCCAATGTTATGAGCCGAAGGGCCAATCAGACAGCGAAACAGCCACAACGTCATGGCGTGCTCTCTGCAGTTGACAGGACAAGCAGATATTCGCCGTGTCTCTGTGCGTGCTCCTCCGCCGGCTAGTCCTATCAGGCACAGAGAGCACGCCATGACGCTGCGCTTTTTTGCGCTGTTTGATTGGCCCTTCGGCTCATAAAATCGGCCGCGCTCGGACCGAAGCTGAAACAAAGTAAAAAAAAAAAAAAAAAAAAAACAGCAGCATTAATTTTTTTAACTTGCAGCCAGCACAAGCGGGCACGTGATTTGGAGCCGATTATATGCCGCCTATGTTGATCATATCTATACGCGTTGAGTTTGGCAAAGCACACGCGATGAGTTCCAGGCATTGTTATGGTTCGGCTGTTAGGCACTTTTAGTAAGTCGTTACCGTGTTCCGTGTACCGCACTACCGGAGCCTTTGAAGCATGCTTTTAAGCGCGCGCCCCGCAGTCGCGGTGCCACTCGGGCGCGCGCTTAAAAGCATGTCTCAAAGACTCCGGTAGTGCAGTAAGCGGAACCGGGCAACGGTGTGCTGAAAGTCTCTATTGTCGTCATTGCCGCGATTGGACGCGAGCCATTTACCCGAATGCTTTTCGAGCTATTGGCACTCCAGCGAAATCGACGGCACTTGGCGGGTATAACACAAAGCTGTGCTGGTGGCAGGTTCGCCTTTTCGAGCGAATCAAATATTCACAGCGCCTGGCGGTCTAAAGACGAAGTCATGAAAGTGGGTTCAAAAACACGTGGTGAAAATCGCCGATTGGGCAGGAGTTCGAGCGGCTCTTTATCGAGCTTGTTGTCCCCACGGCCCGGTGTTTACTAACACAGCATAACAAAGAAATTGAACCTCGCCTAGCACGTTCTGGGCACGTGCGCTTCGCTCTGACCAGTGCTTTGGTTGCACGAGGAGCGGCCTTCGAATCGTCATCTTCGGTTTCTCACATCAAAAACAAACAAGGAAATTCGGTTTGTTGTCGCTATAGAGTTATTATATTATACGCTAGAGGTACATCTGGCGCTAGTGTGTTGACGCAAATTCATTCCTATGTGAAAAAGTGAGTGCATTTTCTCCTTGCGCTCGATCATAAGAGCAAATATCCCGAATAATTCGTACATACTAGGTAGCTTGGAACATTCTTCAGTCAGGCAGACGAAAAAATAGGCCAATTACGGCGTTTTTCTTTCCAATTCATTGCATCAAAAACGGTGCTAAAACGGCTTCGTACATGCATTTTTGTGAATTGTCGGCAGTGGCGTACCAACTTGTCTTTGAGTGAGGGGGCAAACCAGACCCCCTTCCCAAGTGCCGGGGGCCGGGATCAAAATAAATTGAAGGCCACGTAATATATTCCGATTTCAAATAGGTAGGTACTGTTTATTATTTCTGCTTCGTGTGAAGATGCTTGTTCTACGTTCAAAACATCACCCGCAGGCTCGAATAACAGCTACCCGGCGGAGAAAACAATACGAAGAGACAGCTTTCACAGCCCACGTACTTTATCCCTTACGTTTTGAATGTTTTTATCTGCTCATAAAGATGCACAAAGGGGTCATTTTCATATAGTGACAGGACTGGCATATTAGCAATATATAAGCATCACCGGAATGCTTGCGAACCTTGGACACACTCTACGTTCTTACAATTAATAACGAGCGTGTTGGTTAATATATACAAAACTTGAAAGTATAAAACAGCGATGATGAGGACGGGAACAGGACATCTTTGAAAGATGTCCTGTTCCCGTCCTCGTCCTCGTTGTTTTATGTTTCAAAATTTGTCTCTACGTTCTTTTCTATTGCTATTTTGTTTTGAATCGTCGATTGTTTTTACACAACTTCTGCGGAACACATGTTTGGGACTGAAATGTAGCGAAGTTAAGAATCGTTCACTGATGAAGAAAAATGTGCTAACTAGAGCAATTGCAGTTTTACAATATTAACTAAGGTACATACTAGTTAGTACGATCCAAAACACCAAAGTGTTCCATGTTATTTTTCGGCGAAGAGACAATATGCACGCGCGTTTTGCCAAAGGAATGCACAGGTGCACCGCAAAAGTTGACTTGTTGCTGTACGCGTCAATTTGCGTCATAGAAGTCGCATATACACTAGCACCAGTTGAACCTCTAGCGTACATTATAATAATTTTATGGTTATCCGCACAGCTGAAGGGTACCGCTAGAGTAGTGACTGTTCAATATTATTTTAATCGAATATTGTTGCACCGCCCCTCTAAACAAGTTGGTTGGACGTACTTGCGTGATTTTATATCGTACACGGCCAAAATTTAATTGATTTAAGCCTTTACCGAACGATGTGTATTTCCATCACAAGCTGGGTCAAAAACGTCGCTTTTTTATCGATTCCGAATAAAGCGATTGAGTGTAACCGAGTTAAATACGGGATCTGCTTTTTAAGTTCTCTTCTTGACTTGCGAAATAATGTCCCTTTTAGTGTGTGCCTTGTTCGATGTTCTCAAGGCGTTCCCCTCTTTCGCAAGAGTACCAAATTGAACGCTGCGGACAACGTAAACAAGCTAAGAGCCTGACATCTGTTTGCCGACTGCCCGGCATGTCTTGTCTGAGTCAATATAAGAACGACTACACTCCGTTTCACTTTACGATGGACCGCAGAGAAGGCTACGGAGTCAGCGAAGCCAATACAAGGCCCATGTGAGGTTCACGTAACCTTCGGGAGGGGAATGCGCAGCGACCCGGAAGACGCGTTGTCACGTAATGTCTGCACAGTGCCGGATTGGCTGGGATTGGTCAGAGCATCCGCTGCGGTCAATCGTATACGCTTGGCTGTGCCCAACTGCGGTTTCCTCTCCGATTGCAGAGTAAATATTGCGAAAGGACCTTCTAACATCAGACACGTGCACGTACACCTTCGTTGCTAAGGGGCCCCAACAACCGTCTTCTTGCTTTTGGGTACGGCGAAAGTTTGATGCGATCGAAACTGTGTATCTCCAAGTAGAATAGTCGTCGTCTTGGAGATATAGCTTTACTTTTCTTGTTTGTTTTATATATCGCTTTAAGCACGAGGCAATAGATACGCAGGGGTTCATTAATGGACATCACGTACAGAACAGGGTTCGAGGCTTTGTTGTGTGAACGTTGGTTCCTCCCTGTTTATACTTATTTTGTTACCACTCATCAACTTGCTACATATATTTAGGTTTCAGTCTCGAGGAGTTCCTCGTCTTACGTGTAATCTCTAGAGACTCAGGTCGTGATGCATTTGGAGACATACATTCGATTACCCATTTAGTTAGGCACACGTTACTGTACCATACTTTATGACTGCATAGATATTTCATGCCGGTCAAATACATCGTAATAATTTGACTAGAAATATCGGTTTTATAAGGCTTTGTAAAATCCTACGTAGATGCTGCAGCTGGAACTAATGGTGGATTGTTTGGGAATAGAAAAGAGGAAAAAATACTTTGCCCCAAACCTTAAAAAAAGTATATATATATATATATATATATATATATATATATATGTGTGTGTGTGTGTGTGTTTTCGTTTCTTACGTGTATCGATATTCAGAAACTGCGCGCTTGCTGCGACTATGGCGTTAGTGCTACCTGCGCTAAACATACATTCTTAAAGAAAATTCATACACTCTGAGAAAAAAAAAAGAATGAAATAGGTAGCATTGGCGCGTTTTCCATTCTTCTACTGACCCCCCCCCCCCCCCCCCCCCCCCCCCCTTTAAGCGGACAGAAGAGGAACGAGACGTTTTTGTCCTTCTCCAGACAGACGGAAGGAAAGTCTCGCCCTCCCGCATCATCTTTCAGTTTCGTTTTTCAGACACGTCGCACGCGTTGTTTAGTAAACGATGGACTGATTCACCGTCAGCTGCAGTGAAGGCCGCCTGTAATTCAGTCTCACAATCCAAACGCGCATAGAACTTTGGTTGCATTGACGTTTTTAGCACTAATTTTGTGAAACGAGCAAACGAAGCCGTTAGAAATAGCGAAGTTCCGAAATAGTGCCAGCAGTGCGTTCTAGACAGGCAGGGTTTTCTGCCGTGTGCCTCCGCGTCTGATGATACTACGTTCAGTTCTATTTCCTGTTACCAAATGCCAACCGACGGTCGCCGTGGTTTTGCTTTTCCGCGTGTCACCACTAACATTACCATAGCAGTGTTGTGCGTTATTAATTAACTCCGATGTCACCATGTGCTTCCCGTATTACTGATGTAACAGCAAGATGAGATGACATATACCGTCGCAGGTTGACATTCTGCTTTCCATTAAAAAAAGTTTCGACACGCCAAAAATGAAATATGACAGAACTATACTGCTAGGACGCATTGTATGTTCCTATACTCCTGCTAAATTTGTTTTGCAATTGGCGCTATAGTTTCGTCGATAAATCGATTTATACGCGGGTCCCTCGGATCCGCCCCATTCGAAAAGGCCGCCATGGCTGGGAGGCTGGTGACGTAGCCAGCCTCCCGCGCGGCGTCCCCTTGCACGCACTCGCAGACATGGCTCTCTTGGCGTATCGAGCGGCAGCTTCCTCGTTTACCTCCCGCGTTTCGAGCATGCGGTCCGTGACGATTATGTCTACGGCATCGCTCGCCTTGTCAAAGTGTTCGACAATGATC